CCAGGAACGCCTGGGCTACTAGTGTGAGTATTCCATGGTAGTATCGATCCAGATGTTGCTTGGATGTTTCCACACCACAAAGCGGGTACAGCTGGCCAGGGCCTTCGGTCTCGAACTGCATTTTCTAACACTGGCAAATATTTTTTATGAAAATGTTGTATACAAAATTATGTTGTATTTTTGATTAATAAAAATTTAATGTTATAGTACATTCGTGCAAATAAAATCCCCGGAATTCTTTTACAATTAATCATTTTCTTTCTCATAAATTTTCAGATATCGATGGGCATTCCTGGAAAACAGCTTTGCAGCTACACTAAATCCTTTTCCCTTAACATTCCACTTTTTGTGCAGCTCAGCTGGAGTGTCTAATATTTACTTTGAGATAAAACTGATTAGTCCATGGCGTGGTTCCCCAACTATGCAGCTGTCAACTTTTCCAGTTGCTGTATCGCCTTGTGGCTAGTCTACTGGTGATCCTAACGTTTTTTTTAAGTTTTTTGGAAATACGTACTGGACAAAATTCGTGCCATTTCTGTAGATACAATACATTATAAGCAGCTGCACTACATCCTTTTCTTCAAGACTTGCGCTTTGGCTTTGATTCAGTAGCTGTATCCGTACTTACTTTAAGGTGCATGTGTCACAGCTGCGATTTTCACAGCTTTGTTCTCCAACTATCCGGTTTCTCTGACCAGTGCTGCATCGTCTGATGGTTAGTCTTTTGGCAATTTTGACAAATTTGTCTTGATTTCCTGAGACATTTCGCATAGAAATGTGTTAAAAATCCGAAAATGCGATTTTTGCAGAGCAAGATAAGTCAGTCAGGAGCATGTACGCGCAAAATTAATGGCACATAAACTAAAGACTCACCACTGGTTTATAAAAGTAATTGAAATTCTATGAAAAAAAAATGGAAATGTCTGACTGTTATTGATAAATAGCGACGGAACCAGATTTGTTCCTTAGTGATTGTTGCTAGTTTATCCCTGAACGGTCGGTTGGTCGGATCGTTGGACGTCGGTGTTTGCCGTCTTCTTGCCGTGATATCCTCAAATGTTCAACTTGCAATTGGTCTATTGCACAGGTTAATTTTACAGGTAGCTCTTTTCACTCCCAGGTCGGTTTTGAGGTTGGAAACAGTTTATCAACAACGATGTGACTTTGATCTTGAAAGTGGCGCTATTTCATATGTGTCTAGAAACCTAGAAGAGAAGCTAATTTGTCGCATGGTTCTTAGCTTTACAGTTTGGATCTTCAGCTATGCGGCTGGCAGCTTTATCACTGACGAATTAAATTTTAGGTGATTTTTGCGTAATTTTCCTTCCCTGTCCTAAAGGCAATATAATAATTTTATGAATTTCCTATATAATAAACTTTTTCCATCTACTACTTTGACCAATTCTTCATTGCTCCTATTGGCTATTATCTCGAAAATCCTTGTTCGACCAATGCTGCATCGTTTTGTGATCAGCTTGCTAACAGTTCTAATGTTTCTTAAGATGGCCCCTCCTACCTCCCTCCCCAACATAGAAGCATTTGGCTAGCTGTTTCGAGAATGCAAAAATATTAGTGACAATTTGTGAAATATAAAAAATATATTAAAAAATAATCAGATGAACAGGAATGTTGAGCACACTAGCAGCTTGTGGTCTTGGACGTTTGCTACCGTTAGACTACGGTAAAAAAAGGCTACGTGACATAAAGTAGGGAGGAAAAGCGCGCCATTTAAGCGCACCAAACAAAAACCACACGATTTGTCCTAGGGAACTCTTGGCCCCTCTTGGCCTCTCAGCTCATCCACCACGTGTGCACGTCATCGCGCTTATCATCCGTTCCTCCCATCCAGAACTTCCAGGATGCACATATACTGTTTTACCTTTTTCCCTCAGATACTCGGCAGATAGCGTACTTTGAACTCGTTGTCGCTAGCTTTTCGCCCTCCCCTACTAACCATTTGTTCTTGTACACGTGTAGTTTTGCGCGTGTACATGTTTGTGTGTGT